TATGATACAGTATATTTTATTATTATTTAAATATAAATATATAAAATTGAGAAATACATCTGTATTATCACAACTTAATCCTATGGGAAAATAGTATCAATGTACATAATTTAATTTGCTGAAACCTTAGCTTCTATCACTTGTCTGCCAATTTGTCATCCTGTGGTGGTTTGCCCATTGTTGTATTGTTGAAAGAAAATGCTATTGAGATTTCAAATACCAGTAGGGTCACCCATGGGGGTAGGTTTCAGAAAAGCTTCCAGATGAAGACAGAGTAAGAAGAAAGACCTGGTGATATAGTTCTAAAAATAAGTCAATAAAAACTTAGTGAGTCACAGCAGAACATTGCCTAACATGCTTGTGCTGCACATGTCACTGGGAGGGATTAAGTGCTGGAGGAAGACATCAAGTTTGGTGACGTAGACAACCAGTGAAGGTGAAGGAGACTCTCAGTGGTTTGGATTGGCACGATAGTTGCAAGGATGGACTTAAACATGTTGGTGATAATGGGAATGACACATGATCCGGCAATGTTTCCTTCTGTTGTAGATATGGTCACCATGAGTCAGAGATGACTTGATGGAAGCTAACCATCTATCTAAATCTTAGCATTATGAGGTCTATGCCATCAAATGAGGCACACATACCCTTACTACTACTATCAACCTTAGTTATTAAACTTTTAATTTTGATTATTTTAATAAAATAATTATCATTCCTTCACTGCATAATTCTTCCTTAATATTTTCAAGCACATGAACAACTTTCTTCTATCAACTTACAGTCTTAAAACCAACAGCACACATCCCACTGTCAGGTGGATGTGGACTCATATTATTATTTAAAAGAATAGTATTAATGGTGAATCCTGCCACCTCAGGAGTTGTAAATTCCTTCTTCACTCTAGCTCCTCTCTTGGCCTTCGTATTGCAACCTGGGAATCAGGAAGTGTTCTTAGGAGTCTTTGTACTGGTCAAGAACTGGCTCTAAACCTCTGTCATTTATCCTGCACTTCAGTTCTGACAGGTCAAGGACCTCGTCCAACTATTACCCTCAGAGAACATCTGGAGACTCCATCACCCTCTGGGGACCTTCAGTGCAATGGGAGCCTGTCCTGTGACGGCTGGAGTCTTTGCAAATGTTTTTTGTGATAGCACTTATCTCAACAGACAACTACTCCTATATTCATTTGCCTCAGTCAAAGGTGGGGAACATCTGGCCGTCAGGCCATATAAGGCCCACAAAATCATTAGGTCTGCCCTGTCCAGGCAACCGAGGTTCCAGCCATCACATTGTTAAGTGTCATCGGGTTTGCTCTGACTCATAAGTGACCCTGTACAGGGTTTCCAAGGAGTGGCTGGTGATTTTAATTGCAGACCTTGTGATTCAAACTGACCTTGAGGTCTATTGCTTTATCCCACAGTGCCACATCAGAACTCCAGTCATCATATTGTTGTTGTTAAGTGCCTTCGAGTCGGTTTTGAACCATAGTGACCCTGTATAGGGTTTCTGAGGAGCAACTGATGGGTTTGAACTGTCAACCTTGTGGTTCACAATCCAATGCTAGTCCTAAAGCACCACATCAGAAGTCCAGTGAGTTAGGGGTGAGCTAATTAAATGTTTCATCAAACACAGAAGGCTAATTTTTAAGTTGAAAATTTTATAAGACCTGCAAATGATATTATAAACTTTGGCAGAAAAAAAGTTCCCCATCCCTGGTCTAAGTGATGGTCCAGTTAGGCTGAGAACTTTTACAGGGAAGAAAGATGTCCTATTCATCCTTGTACTACAGCTGTTGAGTAAAGAAAGTAAGGGGGCAAAGCTTATGTATAGGCATTGAGTAAAGGGGAAGCCGCAGGTCTAGAGCAGACCCGAATGGGTGGTAACTTACAGTCACAAGGATATCCTGGTTCCACCTTATTAGCCCTCTAAGTACAAGTCCAGGAGCATACTGGAGACAAGTTGCTGAGGAGTGTGTGATGCTGTCATCCTCTCCTGGATTGTGAAAGCAGCCACATACCCTGGCTGTGTATCACAAATCCCACACAGTATAAAAAGGCTCCTGCTCTGAACTGCTATCCACAGACTCTTCGGAAACAGACTTCTCCTGCCTCCTCTGCACCTGGTGAGTGTCTGGAAGGGGACAGAGCCTCAGCTGGGAGTGTTTGGGGAAGAAAAGCTCAGACCTAAAGGGAAGGAGCAGGAGGAGGCCCATAGAAGGCAGCACTCAGGCAGGTGATGATGAGGAAGGCGCCTCAGAGCACAGGGCAGGGGTTCTGTGAGTTGCAAAAGCAGCAGGAGCTCTGGGTTCTAACCACCTAATCTGAGCATGTTGTCAGGCACAGGGCTCCATCGGACACCCTTCAGGAGCTTCAGACAAATGCACATGACCCTTCCATACAAAACTTTCACCCCACAAATGATGGCTTAGAAAGCAGCTTGATTATGGAGGTCAAGTTTTTGACAAGACCCACAAAGAAGGAGACACCTACTTGAAACTTCTGTGCTCACATGTCTCTTTTACTTTTTCCAGATTGAAACTCCTACCAAGATGTCCTGCCAGCAGAACCAGCAGCAGTGCCAGGCCCCTCCCAAATGTCCCTTACCCAAGTGCCCCTTACCCAAGTGCCCCTCACCCAAGTGTCCCCCAAAGAATCCTGCACAATGCTTGCCCCCGGTCTCCTCTGGCTGTACTCCATGCTCTGGGGGTTGCCATGGCCCCAGCTCTGAGGCTGGATGCTTCCTGAGCCACCACAGGCGCCGCAGGTCCCACGGATGCCGGCGCCGGAGCTCCAGCTGCAGTGATGATGGCAGTGGTCTGCAGTCAGGGGCCTCTGGATGTGGTCACAGCTCTGGGGGTTGCTGCTGACCTGGTCTTCTGATGCTGAGACAAGGAATTTTAGAGAAAACAAGGATCCAAAGCACCAAGGAAGGCCCTTTCTCGTGGCAGACTCTTTTCAGACACTCTAATCTTTTTTGGACTCAGCAGCTGAAATATTCACAACAGAAGTTTGTGTTCTCCCCAGAAGACTTCTGTATGTGTTCCAAGAGCTCATGGGCTTCTCCTCCTCTGATGGTGTTTGTTATCGCCTGTGTCTGACCATGTGGAAAAATAAAGTCTCTTCCCTGACTCTCGTAATCCTTTTACTTTGACCCACCGAAGGCACACCAGTAAATGTTCCTTCCCTCATCTCCTGTGGATACAGGACCAGGGAAGAATCTTGACTTGGGAATGGAACAGGCTTCCCTCCATCCATAGGGGCTGTGGGAGCTTTCAGTGTGGGAGGGTGGAAGAAAAGGAAACCTTTTGTTTTGAGACAGAACACTCTAGAAAAAGGCCTGACTTGTATGATATTGTGGGGAGGAGAGATTTAACACGGAACTATCTGATTTCTGCGAAGCAAACTTCAAACAGAATTTGAAAATCCTCTATATCATCAAACTAGGGGTCTTGTACAGCCAGGGTGGTACAAAGAGTCTGCAAATAGAACGAAACCAAAAAAGAATGGAGTGAACACTATGAAGGTGGAAAAAAAAAAGTCTTCCTCTAAAAGAGGATGATCAAGTAGACTTATAAATAATGGATTTTAAGGAGAGGTGAGATGAAAAGTTAGCAAATTCTGAAGAAATTGAAATTGAGGATTTTCCCTGAGAGAATGTGTGAGGGGTGTTCAGCAAATGAGAAGTTCTGAGCTATAAGAAAGCCACGAAGAAAAGAAAAATGACAATAATACTTGAATATTTCTTTCAAGAGATTTGAAATAGAACGGAACTCCTTTTCCTTTTTTTGGGGCATTTGAATGTGACTTTTTAAACTCAGCAATAATAAAGAGATGTGTGATAGCTGATGTTGTTGTTGTTGTTAAGTGCCGTTGAGTTGATTCCGACCCATAGTGTCCCTCTATAGGGTTTTCGAGGAGCAGCTGGTGAGCTTGAACCACTGACCTTGCAGTTCAAACGGCTCTGCAGTCTGGCGCATTAACCCACAGCGCCACACCAGGACTCCCGTGATAGCTGATACGGGATCTTAATTGTGAATCTCCTATCTTACCTTTGGAACAAAGGGCAATGTTGAACCACATTGCATCCTTTTCCAAAAAATCTCGTTTTCCAGGTGGCTTAACATTTTTTGGCTAATACCAAGAATGATTACTTCATAGTTTCTAGTATAGTCTCATATTGCTCTTTTGTTTTTGGATTTTTCTGCATAGTGGTTACAAGTCCGGCTGCTAATCCACGGTTCAGCGGAAGAAAGATGAGCCTTTCTGCTCGCATAAGGATTTAGCACCGGAAACCGTACACAGTATAGCTATGAATTGGGATCGACTCCACGGCACATAACCACCACCACCGGTATAGTCCCAAAACAAAAGGAAAATATTGGCCTGTACTAGAAATTCTGAGGGGATCATTCTTGGCATTAGCCAATAGTACTATGCCACTTGGAAAATGAGATTTTTGGACTACTGTTGCAGAATCATGAGTATTTTTTGAGATAATTTCAAACAGATTAAAGGACATATACCTGTGACTAGATTCAAAGTTGAAGTTTTGAGAGAAATTCAGTTCGTGCATAGAAATTCTAGGCAGAGGACAAAACCTGTGTGATACTTTGGGAATTCAGTCAATTGGAATGTGTCTGTTTATTAATTTAGACCTTGGGAAGTGGCAAGGTAAATAAAAATTCTTTTTTTTTTCTAATCCCATGGACAAATGATTTCTTAAGAAATTGAAATAAAAAGTGCCAACATGAAGCTGGTCCATGAAGCTCATTCTCTTGGTTCTATAGAGCTGTTTCTCCACAACGCATTACACTGTCTCTGATCTTGTGAAATTATGAAGGTTCTTCATTTAAGCGTTATCTGACTATGTTGTTGTTGCTAAGTGCCATCAAGTCGGTGTCAACTCATAATGACCTGTTAGCAGCTAGTGAGTTTGAACCACCAACCTTGCAGTTCAAACCTACCTTATGGTCGAGCGCTTATCTTACAGCTTAGTTGCGTTTTCCCCATTCCAGTCTCCCTTCCCATTGCAGGTTGTTGTTGTTGTTAGGTGCCATTGAGTCAGCACTGACTCACAGCGACCCTATGCACAGCAGACTGAAACAATGTCCGATCCTGGGCCAACCTCACTACTGTTGCCACACTTGAGTCCATTGATGCTGCCACTTGACCAATCCATCTCGTTGGGGGTCCATTGCAGGTAGCCAGGGTTTTTCTCTTTTTCACTTCCCAGAGAACAGCCCTTCATGTGATACAGAAGCCAAAAAAAGATCAGAGGAGAAAGAAGAGTAGGTTTTCTTTAACTTCAAGGGTGTCGCTAGAAACTGAGTAGGGTAGAAAGTCCAAAATTGCTGGAGAAAGGCCTCGTGCATTTTAACCCTGTTATCATCAGGACTCGAGGGAGAAAAATCAGGCTTTCTACTCCCGTAAAGATTTACACCCTTGGAAACCCTGTACAGGGTCGCTATGGGTTGGAACCGACTCAACGGCACTTAACAACAACAACAATCATCAGGACTCTGATGGACATTTTTGTTGCCCTGTGGGTGAGGTATCCCACTGGCCCCCAATCCCTCATTGTCCTCCAGGTGTTTTGTAAAGCTGTTATGAATGGGACTCTGTCTCAGCACTGGTATATTCCTCCTCATGATGCTGCCCTATCTGGGGTGTCCAAAGGCACATTTTTACAGAGTGTGTGACCTGTCATTGGTGACCTACATGGTGGCTGGTCCCTTAGCTATGAGTATAAGATGAGGTGGTACCATATTTCAATGCATAAATCATAATAGCTCAAAACTCTCCTCCACCCAAACCAACTACTGGGTACCTCCCAGAAATTTCTGGGAGTATCCAAAGGCATATGAATACAACTAAACTGTTTGTTTTTATCTCCAAATATTATCTATTCATTTGACACTGAGTAGCTTATATCTTCTATGTTCACCTCCCTCAGAGCAGCTGAAAGAAACCTCTTGAGAGAACTCAATGTCTATTTTGAGCTGTGATTTCCTAGGTTCCCAATATGGCACTGTTCCATGTAGAGGAGGGAGAACAGCCTTCTCCTCACACTGACATCCTTGGGGACCAAACTTGTTCTGACTCTGATTCAGTCTCTTACAGTTCTGTCAGCTACAGGCTCTCATCCATAATTTCATGAAGTCTTATGAAGAAAGTCTACTGGTGGGCAAGGGTAGACCTAGTGGAATAAGAACCACCATTTACCTGGAATGCTCTTCTCTTTCTCCTGCCTTCTCTGTAATAAGGAAATCTCTCCTAAGCACAGAAACACCAAGATACCTGCCTGCCCTGGAATCAGTATCATGCTTCATTCAGAAGAGACACAAAACTCACCAGAGGCCGGCATGAGTAACACCATTTTTTGTTGGAGGATTTTATTAAAGGGCAGCACAGAGTTTACATAGCAACATGTACTCTCTATTTATCCCTAAACCCCAAATGCCGTACTAGAGCTACTTCCCTCTCTTCCCAATCTGACACCCTGAACTATCTCCCATTGCCTCCTTTCCTGAGCAGGGCTCTTCCTCCATTATCCTCTCCCACTGACCCGTGCTCACCTTACTGTGGCTTCCACCTGGCAGCCCACATTTTTAAGAATCCCTTGTTGTTGTTAAGTGCCGTCGAGTCAGTTCCAACTCATAGTGACCCTGTATAGGGTTTCCAAGGAGCGATTGGTGAGCTTGAACTGACGACTTTGTGGTTCAAACCAAGCTTGCAGTCCAGCACATTAACCCACAGTGCCAAACCAGGGCTTCCAAGAACCCCTTAAGTTGGTTAATTATCCCAACCTATTTCTTCCCTTGTATCTCAATTCCAAATTCTTCACATTTTATGCTCTACAACTTTGCTTCCCTTTCTTAGTTGACTTACTATCCTCCTCCATCTTCTTTGGTCTTGTACTTTTTTGCCAATTTTTTTATTCTTTGATGCCCTCTCCCCAATCCTTGTCATTGAGCGAAGGGAGTTCTGAACAACTTTTCACGCATTTACATCAACCGCATGAACAGAATCTGCAGATTTCAAGGACAGATACTATCTTAAATCGCTTCACACAGGAAAACTCAGGACTTTCATTAATCCATCCCCACCAATACCTCTCCCTAAATACCCCTCATTTGAAAACACCCCAAAAGCCTCTTGTGAGTTGAGTGGAGTATGGCTTTATACTGCTCGGAGACAGGATTCTGAGGTTGCGCTGTGAAGCCTTGCACTGCTTCCAGCAAGTCAAAGAAATGGACATGTTAGGCATATATTGCAAGAAGAAAGAAATGCTTTATTATTTTTTTATATGGATATAAAGATGGATAGGTGGAAGCACTGGGTTCCTGGAGATCATCAGGATGAACCTTCTGGGGAAACACTCAGAACTTTCCAAGGAAACTCTCTAAGAAAACTCTTTAGCAACAAAGAAAAAAGACAGGAACAAGGTTCATCAGATTGGGATAGGATGTAGGCACTTGGAAATTCCATTTTTTGCAAAGATTTCTGCTTTGATTTTCAGGTCAGCAGCCACTGCCAGAGCTATAGCCACAGCCAGAGCCCCCAGACTGCTGACCACTGCAGCCGGAGCCCTGGAGGGGACATCGGTGGGACCTTGGGCGCCTGTGATGGCTCAGGAGGCATCCAGACTCAGAGCTGAGACCATGGCAGCCCATGGAGCTTGGAGCACAGCCAGAGGAGACTGGGGGTAAGCACTGTGCAGGGGTCTTCTTTAAGGGGCACTTGGGTGAGGGGCACTTGGGAGGAGGCTGACACTGCTGCTGGTTCTGCTGGCAGGACATCTCGGTGAGAGGGTAGTAAGCCTGGATAAAACAAAAACACAATACGTGTCAGTGCAGTGGCTTCAGAC